ACTCCAGCCTTGCCCTCACGGGGCTCCAGAGGATGGGTGGTGGCTGTTCACAGTGTGCCTTTCATGGGATACTTCTTGATCCCAGTCGACGACCTCATGCCTAGGTGGTCGACCATGAACAGACATTTCTCTCACAGGGAATTTATTTATATTGACTGATGCTCTTGTGGCTTTTATCTGATCTGTGTCCAGTTTATTCCTATAAGATAGCCACTCCCTAGGAAAACCCTGTACTGGAAAAAAAGTTAGGTTTGGATATGTCAGTCAGGCGAGACACAGGGGAAGCAGCACAACAAAACCCATGAAATAATAGAAGCATTTTTATTAATTACAGATCTCAGAGAGAAGAGGGCAGCACGCCTCACAGGGCCAATGGGAAGGGGGAACACTCGTGCTCAACCAGTGGGGAGAGAGAGAATGGGCCAAAGCCTTTTTGGGATCCAGGGTGTTACCCAGGGAGGTTTCCCAGGGGAAGTTCTGACAGGTTGGTTTACAGCAGACATGAGTTCCATGAGGTCTTGCTGTGACTGACAGGTAGTCACTGTGGAATATCTGCTCATCCATGTGGGCTCTGAAGGTCAGTGGGGCAATTCTAGTCAGTTGCATCCAGCTGTACCATAGAACGGTGGTCACCAGGAGGCAGTGGTATAAAGCAGGTGTCTGGATCAACCATATTGAGGAACTGGAAAGAGGCAGAGAACTGGAAACTGTATCAAGAGTGACTGATCCCGCTTCCAGTATGAGAAAGTTAAACTTATATTCAAAATTGGTGCCAAGGCAACATAAAATTATAAGAATATATATATCTGTGTATATATACTTATATTCTGATTACTGTGGCAGTAATTCTGATTATATATATAATTTTATACATCTAAAATATATGTATTATATATGATTATATTTAAATTATATATATATTTATAATATATATTTTACATTATATATTATATGTACATAATACATACATACATAATTTATATATATTATAGATATACTTATGTAAAATCAGAATTACTGCCACAGGAAAACAGCATTTAAAATCATTAATATTTCCCATGAATACAACTATATTATCCCAATAATATATGGTTGGGAATTTTCATCAAATACATTCTGATAGAAATTGTTCAAGGAATACAAATGTCATTTTTGATTTACAAATTATAATTAAAACCTTAAAAATTAGTGCCAAAAATTCAGATTATTTATATGAAAACAAATATAAGTGGATCTTTTGAGATCTTCTATTTCTGATCATTTACAATGTAAATCTCCACGGATATGAGTGACTGAGAGTTACCTTCATTGCAGAAATATTCCAGACACGTACATGTTCAAGAACTTCCAAGCATATTTCACGTGGATTTTCTTTACCATATCAAAGACACAAACTTTCTTTAGTGGAGAAGATTCAAAAATCAATCCAAAGTCTGTTTGTCTTTTTTCTAAGTGAGTTTTAAATGAATCAGAATACCAGTATCTGAAGTGAAATTATTCCAAAATGATGACAGCATTTAAAGGAATTAAGCACTTGGGCCATTTATTTAATTTTTACTGAAAACAAAAGAACCATGCCTTTTAGAGAAAAAAAAAAAAAGTTATGTTTGTAATTTGCTTTAGCAAATATGCTAACCTATCAGACATACTAGGACTAAAACAAATATAAATAAAATGTGTATACTTTGTGCAAAGCAAATACATAACAAGCAAAGAAAAGGTAAATTTCCCTCTGCCTAAAAGGGCCTTTGTGCATCTTTACAAATGCAAATCATCCTCATCCTCAAATGATTCAAATTTTATTACCCAAATTAGAACTTTTCTGGTGCCTCCCCTCTCTCCCATCCCACTCCCAAGCAAAATTAACTCTCTTTATCTTACAAGTTTTATGTATATTTGTGGAATGTTTTATGACATGATTATCTTCTACCATCAATTACGGCTTTTCTGCTTACTTACAAGATCACCCCAACTAGAGTTATTTTCTTTCATCTTTTTTTTTTTTTTTTTTTTTTGAGACTGAGTCTGGCTCTGTCGCCCAGGCTGGAGTGCAGTGGCCGGATCTCAGCTCACTGCAAGCTCCGCCTCCCGGGTTTACGCCATTCTCCTGCCTCAGCCTCCGGAGTAGCTGGGACCACAGGCGCCCGCCACCTCGCCCGGCTAGTTTTTTGTATTTTTTTTTAGTAGAGACGGGGTTTCACCGTGTTAGCCAGGATGGTCTCGATCTCCTGACCTTGTGATCCACCCGCCTGGGCCTCCCAAAGTGCTGGGATTACAGGCTTGAGCCACCACGCCCAGCATTTTCTTTCATCTTTAATTCCTCCAAGGTTGTCATACAAAGCCTTGCTCAAAACAGCTTCTCATCAGTATTTGTTAGACTGTATTAAGAAGATATATCTTCCATAATGGTTGAACTAGTTTACAATCCCACCAACAGTGTAAAAGTGTTCCTATTTCTCCACATCCTCTCCAGCACCTGTTGTTTCCTGACTTTTTAATGATTGCCATTCTAACTGGTGTGAGATGGTATCTCATTGTGGTTTTGATTTGCATTTCTCTGATGGCCAGTGATGATGAGCATTTTTTCATGTGTCTGTTGGCTGTATGAATGTCTTCTTTTGAGAAATGTCTGTTCATATCCTTTGCCCACTTTTTGATGGGGTTGTTTGTTTTTTTCTTGTAAATTTGTTTTAGTTCTTTGTAGGTTCTGGATATTAGCCCTTTGTCAGATGAGTAGATTGCAAAACTTTTCTCCCATTCTCTAGGTTGCCTGTTCACTCTGATGGTAGTTTCTTTTGCTGTGCAGAAGCTCTTTAGTTTAATGAGATCCCATTTGTCAATTTTGGCTTTTGCTGCCGTTGCTTTTGGTATTTTAGACATGACATCTTTGCCCATGCCTATGTCCTGAATGGTACTACCTAGGTTTTCCTCTAGGATTTTTATGGTATTAGGTCTAACATTTAAGTCTCTAATCCATCTTGAATTAATTTTCGTATAAGGAGTAAGGAAAGGATCCAGTTTCAGCTTTCTATTTATGGCTAGCCAATTTTCCCAGCACCATTTATTAAATAGGGAATCCTTTCCCCATTTCTTGTTTCTCTCAGGTTTGTCAAAGATCAGATGGCTGTAGATGTGTGGTATTATTTCTGAGGACTCTGTTCTGTTCCATTGGTCTATATCTCTGTTTTGGTACCAGTACCATGCTGTTTTGGTTACTGTAGCCTTGTAGTATAGTTTGAAGTCAGGTAACAGTATGGCGATTCCTCAAGGATCTAGAACTAGATGTACCATATGACCCAGCCATCCCATTACTGGGGATATACCCAAAGGATTATAAATCATGCTGCTATAAAGACACATGCACACGTATGTTCATTGCGGCACTATTCACAATAGCAAAGACTTGGAATCAACCCAAATGTCCATCAGTGACAGACTGGATTAAGAAAATGTGGCACATATACACCATGGAATACTATGCAGCCATAAAAAAGGATGAGTTTGTGTCCTTTGTAGGGACATGGATGCAGCTGGAAACCATCATTCTTAGCAAACTATCACAAGAACAGAAAACCAAACACCGCATGTTCTCACTCATAGGTGGAAACTGAACAATGAGATCACTTGGACTCGGGAAGGGGAACATCACACACCGGGGCCTATCATGGGAAGGGGGGCGGGGGGAGGGATTGCATTGGGAGTTATACCTGATGTAAATGACAAGTTGATGGGTGCTGACGAGTTGATGGGTGCAGCACAGCAACATGGCACAAGTATACATATGTAACAAACCTGCACGTTATGCACATGTACCCTAGAACTTAAAGTATAATAATAAAAAATAATTAAAAAAAAAAAAGAAGATATATCTTCTGGCCTTGGCCTTTTTTTCTGTCCTAAAGAACCAAAAGCTTTACTTTCTGAAGTGATTTTTAAAAATTCTAACACTACATTCATCTGAATGCCTCTCACCAATGGCTACTTGGAGATACTTCAATCATAAATTATTAGCTTGCCTTATCAGTCAAGCAACCCTGGAGTCTAAATTTCATATGGATCTAGGTCAAGTGTCTGTTACCAAAGCTATTACAGAAAACTGGTGATTGCTAAAGGAACGATTATCCGATCCACAAATGGGAGCAGACCCTTAGCTTCTCCTTTCTCTGCCACTGACTCTATAATTAGTTCACAGCAAAATCATGATTCCCTCAAGGGGTGGACAGGACCACCCACAAGAGGAAAGTTGTTACATGTTAGCAGCTCTGCAAGAAAATGAAAAAATATATATTTATTGAAAGCAAAAGATTCAAAACTGCTATGTGAGTTTTTGTAGCACCTAAAGATTTTTCTTTAGCTCTTATAGATATAATTATTTAAACAGAAGACAAATATAGACCTATAGCCAAATAGTGTTTCTTACACTATTAAAGTGAATACGAACATTCACTCAACAGATACTGCTTTTGTATCTATTGTGTACATTTTCCCCGGCCTTAAGAAGATAATTGAGTTGAAGAAGAAAGATAGACAAGCCTGCAATGTTAAATAATAATATCTAACGATGGTATGAAACATGTTTTAAGAAAGAAAAATATGCAGCAAAGATTTTGATCTATGTTGGTCCTGATATACTAACAATCTATTATTAGTATATTACCATTAATAGCTGTCATTAAGTACATTAAGTTTTTGTTATAAGTACCATTTTTATCCCCATTTTACACATTAGTAAACTGAGGCATGAGAGGTTATGTAGCAATATGTAGCAGAGACAGGATTCACACCCAAGTCTATCTGAGCAAGATCTAAATCCTTGCCATTATACTATAGGTATTTTTTTCTAAATTTTGGGTCATGACAAGTCCATAGCCATTGGCAGTTAATATTTTTATGTTAATACAAACAATATATATTACTGTTTATTTTCATTGAGTTTTGAATTCATTTGGAATATTGGCCTTTTAGTTGTTTCTATAAGAATTATTTTTCTTTTTATATAGGGTTGTGATACACAGATGATTTATGACATGTTGCTAAGATTGAAATCCATTCTCTATTTGCCTGGTGACTTTGTCTGCAAAAAGGTGAGTGCATGCTATTTTTCAAATGCACAACTAATAAATGAATTTGAGTATTTCAGACATAAGTCAAGAGCATTGTTTAAACAAAATTTGTTCAGGGTGAATTCCATAGTATAGAAATTATTATGATGTATAGCTCTGTACAGCAATAATGCGCCCTCAGAGTTCACAAAGGAACAAGACAATATGGATTTCATTACTCATATTATAGGATAGAAGTGTGGGTAGCCTGAAAAACTGCTTTGTATAAATGTTAATTATCAATTGTCACAGCTCATTAATCTCAAATATTTAAAGTGGAGGAAAAAGTTCTAGAAGCGATAGGTGGTTCAGCCTTTTTTATGTCTTCGGCAAAATATCAGTTACCTTCATTTTGCTCTCCCAAGTAGTGAATAATCAATGCCACATTTTAAAAACCTGTACTGTGCTTTTTATGATTACAAAATAATACATGTTCATTATTTTAAGATAGAAAACACATAAAAACATAAGGACATAAATTCCACCATCCAGTAATAACCACTCTTCATATATTTTGGCCTATCTTTTTATATTGACTGATGGATAGAGCTCGTGCTATAAAAGTGGCATCATACTGTACATATGTTTTGAAACATGTTTTGTCATGTAACAATATATCATATGAACATTTTATGTATTAAGTAATCTACAATATTATTTTTAAAAGCTGCATGATATTTCAGTCTAGGGATGTATCAGGATCAATTTTCAAATGTCTGCTATCATAAATAAAACGAACATCCCCTCAGATAAATATTTTTGCATATTTCTGATCACTAACTTGAAGGGGGAGAAAAGGAATGATGACCCTGGGATTTATATAGTGAGAAACTAAATCAAAGATAAACTCAATAATCAAAATTTTAAAAGAAAAATGAGTAGTTAAAAAAAATGCAAGATGATCCAAGACCTCGGTGAGTTCACAAGCGAATAAAGATGAGAGGCACTTTTATCATTTCAAAATAATGTGTTAAATGCTATGGTCAAAGAAAGCACAAGCTGTTGTAGGACATAAAGGAGGGGCATCTGTCCTTCCTGGTTACTGGTAAGATTTCCTAGAGAAGATAAGGTCTGAGCTAAGTCTTGAAAAATGAATTGGAGTAAACCAAGTGAAAGAGGAAATAGGCGTTCTGGGTAGAGGAAAGAAGTGTGAGCTAAGGCAAAAAGGAAGGAACTGTGTCTATAGAGGGAGTACAGAGAACTATAATAAGGCAAATGTTAGAACAATTTTAGAATGATTTATTCTACAAAACTCAGGAAATGTTTCTCAATACAATGAGCCAGAAACAGTGCTGGGCACTGAGCAAAAAAAAAAAAGATGGTTCTTGTCCTTTAGGGTCCTACCTTTCTAGTGCCATGGTATTCAATTCACAGTGCACATCAGAATCACCTGAATGAAGATGTCTGGGCTCCACCCCTCAGTGATTGATTTGGTCTAGATGGAGCCCATATACCAGTATTATTTAAAAGCTCCCATATGATTCTAAAATGCAGCCAAAACTAAGAACCACTGGCTTCATGGGCGAGACAAGCAATAAACAAGTGAAATTAAGTCAATGCGTAATTCCAAAATGTGCTAAGTTGTATAAAGGGAAAATAGAAGTTGCCAGAAGAGTATGTAGTGACAACGACACTTAATTTAGATCCAGGGTTGGGAGATGGGGAGGTTATTAGGTTGTCAGGAGTGACCCTCGAAAAATCTAAAGATAAATAGTTCTTTAGTTTCAAAAAAAGAAGTGGACAGGATGGTATTTTTTATGAAGACTTGGAACCATGAGCCAAGAGGCAAGATGGAGGTTGGCATATCCTAGGAACAGAAGCAAGTGAGTGATGGGCTGTGGTGAAACAGACGAAGTCAGATGGAGTATGAGGTACTTCAAGGCATCAGGTGGAGATGCCAAGTACACAGTGAAAATCAGTCTAATGAGAGAGGATGGAACTGGGGGTTACTGGGAATTGGAATATAAAGGAAACAGACTTCAAGAAAAGCTCAAGGAAAGGTCGGAGAAGAGGGCCTTGGCTCTAACTTTGAAGAACTCCAGTGTTCGTGGAAGAGATCAATGAAGAAGAGTCAGAGAGGGCAACTGAGAAGGAGCTTTCATAGATGAAGGGGGGAAATGGAAGAGAGATTATGATAAAATGGGAACCAAGAATATACAATCCCACACAAATTAGTCCAAGTTAAAATAAGGCAGATTAGTGATATGAAATCAGTTTTATTAAAATGGGAAATACAAGTCACAGTGCAGTCCAAGAACCCCTTGGGGGCAGTGGTGTACTGGAATGACATGACTTTAATGCACCAAAAAATGTCCTTTCATTTGGGGCCAGTAGCAACAGAGATTGAAAATTGTGATAACTCACATAAACTTTAGCACCTGTGCCCCAAGCAGTGCAAATTTGTTTAACAAAGTATGAAATGCAGAGTAGATGCAACCTTCTCATTTCTAATTTCTTCTTCACATCACATTCATCACTCAATAACAAAAACATCAGTGGAGACAAATGAGGCAGGAAAAGGAATAAATGGGTGGAAAGTAGAAATGAGGAGACATTAGACTGACAGGTCACATTTCTTTAAGAAGGGATTTGCATGATAGTAGATATTGACAGAGAAGAAAGGCTGTTACTTGACAGGACTTCAGGTGGCTGAATTCAGCGTTGTTTTGCTTATCGTTGTCACAAAATATTGAAGGAATATTTTGTGAGATATTCTCCAAAATCTCCAAAATATTTCTCCAAAATAAGAGAAGGAAAAATATATGTTCAATTTGAGGTTATCTGAATTTAAGAGATGACGGCATTTGGGGCCAAGTTTGCTGACCTACCTAATCCCCAGGAATTGACTGAGTGGTAGCTTGGGCGGCTTGAAAGAGTGGGAGTTTTCTTCAGATGCTCTAGGGCAGGGCAGAAATCACCTAGAGCTCTTGTTAAAGCATCAGTTTCTAGGACCTCATTCCCAAAAACTCTGATATATATTTCTGCAGTGAGAACTCTCAGTAAACTGAGAATTTGCACCTCTACACAAGCTCCTAGTGATGCTGCTGCTGGTGACCCAGGAACCACACTTTAAGTAGCACTGCTCTTTTCTGCTGGGGTGCCCTTGAGTGTCACAAAGCCCTCATGAGCCTTAGAAATAGCTTCCTACACAGAAACCCTGAAATTTTGAAGTGCACTCTCTCCAGGGGTTACCTCACTCTACATGAAGCTCTTGTTTTTTCATATTTTCTCCAAATTAGTCCACACACTAACAACCAGAGCTTGGTTCAATCTTATTTTGCACATGCTGTCAGCCCTTATTCTCTGAGGAATGTCTACTTAATTTGAATGCTAATTAAACTGCAGAAAGGGCTTAAATTAGCCTAGAAATATGCAAGAAATAGTGGAAGTTTTGGTTCGTTGATTATGCCAGATCTCCTTGGAAAATTATTGAAATGAGCATTAAAAAATAATTAAAAGAGCTGAACTGTATTTAAGTACTCACTATGTACTTCTACCTCCAGTCAGTTGTAATAACTGCCTTTGAAAAATCATTCCAGTTCCTTGAGAATTACTTCATGCAAAGAATAAGGAATATGACCCCGTCCTCATCATTACTTCCTAAAGTATCTCTTGGAAAACTAATTTTCAGACATCATGCCTTATTTTTTAAATTATTCATGGCTATTTTATTGGTTCTTAAGAGATCATTCCCGATACTGGAGTCACCGTTAGATATGGTCTGTCTTCATGTATTATATGGAGTCAGATGACATAGGTGCCACTAGTTCTGGCGCTGTCACCTGCGAGCCTTATACGTTTGCTCAAGACATTTAATTTTTTAAACCTCGACTACCAATTTTTAAACAAGAGTAATGATGCCTTTCCTACTTACTTTACTGGGATTTTTGCAAGAATTAGATGAATGAATATCTATGAAATGCTTTGCAGTTATAAAGTAGCATGTTCTGTTAGAACAAATATAGGAATTAAAATAAGGAGCTATGTAAATGTCAGGTAATGTAATGATTTTTTAAAGTAATATGCAAAGACATGATATTGTTATTAGCATTAATAGTATGTAAATAAATATAATAAGATCCATTTATGTTGGAATTTCTACTTTTATATGTTTTTGAGTATAAATATATGCTTAATATTTTGCACAGGCAAGGTGCAGTGGCTCACGCCTGTAATTCCAACACTTTGGGAGGCCAAGGCAGCAGGATCACATGAGTCCCAGAGTTTGAGACAAGCCTGGACAACATGGCAAAACCCTGTCTCTACAAAAAATACAAAAATTAGCCAGGCATGGTGGCTTATGCCTGTGGTCCCAGCTACTCAGGAGGCTGAGGTGGGAGGATCACTTGAATGTGGGAGGCAGAGGTTGCAGTGAACTGATATCGTGCCACTGGACTCTAGCCTGGGCAACAGAGCAAGACCCTGTCTCAGAGCAAAAACAACCAAAAAATTTTAATTAAAAAAATATTTTGCACAATGCAAAACTTAAACATATTTCTTGCATTGCTCAGTTAGGAGATGTGGGTTCTAGGCTTCCTTTGCTTCTAATTACTGGGTCATACAACTTTAGCTAATTAGCTAAGCCAATCTGTGCCTTTGTTTTAATTTCTGTAAAAAGGAAATAATAGTACTTACTTTACCTTCCTTATAAGAGTAATGGGGAGATAAAATAAGAATTTCAGCTTCCTGGATATTAACTAAAAGGTGGATTCTGATAACTTTAAACACAACCCGGCAATTATAAAGCAACAATAGTTGATGTTCAGGAAAATAAACCTAGGTATGGAAGGACTTTAAAATCTCCCAGAGAATAGCTAAGTTATATTTTCCTTATTCATAAATGAGTGTCTTCTACATGTCAAACCTGCGTTCAGCACTGTAACAAAGTTGACATTTTCTCAGCCATCTCGGGGAGTAAACTACAGTCAATATTTTTTTTCTTCCAAAGCATGATGTAGGCTAAATACTTTTTAAAATAAAAATTTAAAAAATCTTTTAATCTTGAGTTGATTTTAGTGTATTCTAATTCTTTCAAAGTATGGTTAATGAGAATATTTGAATAACTCAAATAACCCAGTCCCCTCCTAAGCCAAGTAAGTGAATTTATCTATTAATGATTTTTTTTTATATAGCTAAAGGTGATCAAGGCACTACTCATTCAGACATGTAGGCTATCCAAATAGTTTGCCTAGTGTTATGCAATCTGGTCTATTTAAAGTTTAATAGCCTTTCTTGACCTAAGTGCCATTAAATCTCTTGTAAGACATTTATTCTTTTTGGAAGTTAGAGCGAGAAGATGTGTTCCAAGGGCCTCATAACCACCCACTAGTTTGGTGATTTACTTACAAGAACTCATACAATTCAACATAAAGTTATATTTATGGCTTGAGATTTATTATAGCAAGGAATAAAATGCAGGAATAGCAAGAAAAAGATATACACGGGCAAACACGAGAGAAATCAGACACAGGCTTACTAGGTCCTATTTCTGTGAGGGTCACATGGATGCATTTTTCTCTCCAGTGGACCACAGAAACATGAGCAAAATATCTCCACCCAGGGAAGCTCATGTTAGTCTTGGGTCCAATGTTCCTAATTGGGGCATATAGCTGCATGACCAGACATGATTCAGACTTCAAAATATGTTGGATGTACACATCGTAAATCTTTGTGATTATATTAAATAGTGTTGACAGCCTGGTACATCCTGCTACACTGGCTCAGGAATATAGAATAACACCATTAACCAGTGGCTATGTGAACATTCCAGGAGTTTAATTCTTAGGGCTTGAACAAATATCATTCCCCTGGTCCCAAGGGTCCCCAAAGATAGGCAAGAACTGAGTAAAACAACCTACTCCATTAATACTTCATCTCAGCATGGAATACTAATAATAACTCAAAGATCTCCTATGCCCCAATTCCCCAAATCAGACCTCGATGACATGGGTAGAAGAATAGAATTGACCCTTGAAAGACTGCAGTCTATGCTCTTTGGCTAGACCAAGCAACTTCTACCAAGCATAGTGGTGGTCATCAAAGCAAGGCTTGACCATGCTTAAAATCAATTACTTCTTCTACCCAGGGTCCTTCCTAAAGCAATGTGCTAACTGAAATATCTTCATGTATCCAAGGGAGGCAAACAGTACTCACATGTTGAGAAGTATCACCTTCCTAATCATTTCCTTTCACATGATATGTCTAACCAATGTCTGTAAATACTTTAGGTCTTAAGACAATTACTTTCACACTAATGTTCTTTGCTTCCTTCATTTATATTTACTCCTCTAAAAGAGTTTATATTTCTTAATTTACAGCATAATTGTCAAGAATAAAATAACTACCATTTCCTCTTTATATTTAAAATGTAGGGAGAAATTGGCAAGGAAATGTATATCATCAAGCATGGAGAAGTCCAAGTTCTCGGAGGCCCTGATGGTACTAAAGTTCTGGTTACTCTGAAAGCTGGGTCAGTGTTTGGAGAAATCAGGTATCTGAAAGATACTTCATAAACATTGAAGCCCATCATTTGTCATAAAAGAAAAATCTTAGGTAGTAAAGTAAGTAAAGTTCCTGCTCAGATTTATAAAAGGTTTGATTGTGCTGATAGCATTGGTAAAATAAGGATTTTCATATTTCTATTCATCCCTTCACCAAAAAGACCTGAGGAAAAGAACTGGGTCATTCAGCTCTTTAGTCCAGGACCTAGAGCAGTGCCTGGCATAAAGCAAGTTCCCAGTATATGTTGAATGGATGTGCAAATGAATTAGTTAATGAGAGAAGAGGTTTGGAGGGTTCATTGTTACCAGATTGTTGGAAGACTTGAATGCCTTGCTAACAAGGGGATCTTGAGTAGGCTAGTGATGTGATCATAGCTGTGGGACCAAATTTCCTGAGTTTAAACTCCAGTTTCACCACTACTGGCTTTTTTCCTCTGTTACTTGTCCCCGCTGTTCCTCAGTTTCCTCACCTTAATAATTAGGATAATAATAGAACGTACCTTAAAGTGTTGGTAAATGAGTTAATTCATTAAAAGCACTTAGAACATTGCCTGGCATCTGTTAAGAGCTCAATAAATATTACTTATTTTTACCATTGTTTCTTATTGGCCCGGAAAAGTTTATCCTAGAAAAAGAAAGTCCCCAAGAGGAAAAATATAGACAGCAAATTTAAGCATTTTGTGGGCTAAACACTTCTATATGCATTATCACATTTATTCAACCAAAAAATATTCATTGAGTGCCTAGTACTTGCTAGATTGTCAGGTATTGCTCTTAACTCTAGGAATAAACTATATAAAAAATATTAGACAAGATATGGCCCCTGAAAGAGCTTACAGTACGGTCGGGGAAAACTGATAATAAATAGTTAATTAGCTAGACAAGATGAATTCACATTGTAATAACTGCTATGAAGGAAAAAATGGTTAGAACATAACAGGACACTACTTAGATGCAGTGGTCAGGAATGACCTCTCTAGGGAGATAATATTTGAGCTGAGATTTGAAAGAGTAAAGGATCAGCCATTCAGAATTGGGGGAAGAGCCTCTCTGATTACTGAAGGCCTAGAGGTAAAGCAAGTTTGTCTGGTCAAGGGGCAGAAAGGTGAATATGGCTGGAGTACAGTGAGTAAGAACACTGGGGAGATGAGGCCAAATAGGTGAGCAAGGCTCAGATAACACATGGTCTTTTAGGCCATGATAGGAATTTATGTCTTTTTCTAAATATGAATGAATGCCAGTAGAGGGTTTTAGGCAAAAGAATGACACACTCTGAATTCTTATTTTAAAAGACGACTTCAACAGCTATGTGGAAAAGATACAGTAGAGGAGCGAGAATGAATAGAGACCAATTAGAAGTCAACTGTGGTGGCGCAAGTGCAAGATGATGGTGTCTGGAACTGGGATACTGGCTCATACAATGAAAAGAAAAGTACCCTATCAGGCAGTTATTAATATATTTATTTCATAATATATATTTCATATTTTCATAATATATTTATTTCATCTATCCCAAGATGCCAAGTACTATATCTTGCCCAGGACACCATAGCTAATGAATTATAGGGACAACATTCAAACCTGGGTCTCCACGGATCGGGGTCCAGTGATCTTTATACCACGTCACAGAAGAAATTTCCAATCTCTAATTTCATAGCTGCTAAGAAGTTATCTTCGTGTTCCAGAAATATGGACAATTTTAGATGACTTCATAGGAGCATCGTTAGGGTTTCTTTGGAATGTTGAAGCATGTTATTTCTCTGTTGGAAATGTGGCTTCTCTCTTTAATTTTTTCTCCTTGTTTAACGACTGATTATTGTTAAGGTGATCCTCTGAGGATCTTGCTCCTGGGCAGTGGTGGAAACACTTCTCAGAATGTACAAGACCTGAGTTCTTTGCCTGTTTTCTATCATTTCCTTCCTGGGAGTCCTTGCAAAAGTGATTTAATATTTTGTGACTTAATAATCACTGTAATCTTCAAGGTCATAAAACATGCAACAGTTTAATCTGAAACACTGCAGAAATTAATTAGCTGACCTTTCCCAAGGGTTGAGTACTCCCTGAAGAATAAGCCTTATAAATACAAGTATGTTAATTGCTGATATTATCATCACAGGAAGAACTACCCTAGGAATTGATTCCAGGTGTAGCTGAGTTGCAACTGAAAGTAATCCTAGATTCCTGACAGCAGCTTCTCAAATAAATCTCCTATTACCCATTTGGTTTCTAAGGCCAAATTGAAGCCGGTAGAATGGACAAGCTTTAAACCTGCTCAGTAGTTTGGTTGATTCAAGTGAAAGGGAGCTTTTTGCCTTGATTCTCTTTTTGGCTGTGGTTATGGGAAAACAGGATGCATCTGCCTCTTTCCAGATACCCACAGGCTTCACAGGCCCACAGCTGTCATACACCCCTGAAGCTCTAGTCATTTATTCCAGAGCTGGAGGCATGCCTGCCAAACATCCAGATACTGGAAAGATCTAGTAATAGTGTTTACTACTCAAAAATGCTGTGACCTTTGTTAAAATGAGCTCAATCCAGCACTATCATGTAGCCTTTAAAAGAGTTCTTTTTCCTCAGGAAAAAAAATGAAGAAAAAAATTAAGGGCTTTCAAGGACATTATATATTAATCCAAAAGAGCAAAACCCTGACTAAAATATAGATTTACAGCCTGTCACAGAGAAAACCCAGACCACATTTCCAATTAACATCTGAAGAGTGCAGATACCCCATTTCTAAAAGAGAGACCCAGGGTCTGCTGAGGGATGGCCCTGTGGTGGTTCCGACTCCATCATTTTCCTTACACATGCATTTAGTCCCAAGTCCTATTCCCTGAATGTATTTAACCACTTCCTGTCTGCATTCTGTTTCTGTTAAAATGACATTTTTCTTAAAACACATCTGAGTTTTTATTTCTTGTGTTGCCATTATTATTTCAATAGGATTTTCTGTTGGTTTCATCTCTCTTCAGAATATCCTCCCCCAGGAAATTTTTCATTCATCCTTCAAATGCCACCTTTTTGAAGCTATCTTTAACCCCTAAAACAACTAGTTGCTCTTTATTCTATGCTTCCATAGCATTTCATTCGTGCCTTTATTACAGTAATTACTACTGATTTATAATTAATTTGTTCAGACAGGTCTCTCCAACAGACTGAGCTACTGAAATATAAGAACTAGAGGCCAGGTACGGTGGCTCACACCTGTAATCCCAGCACTTTGGGATGCTGAGGTGGGCGGATCACGAGGCCAGGAGATCGAGACCGTCCTGGCTAACACTGTGAAACCCCATCTCTACTAAAAATACAAAAAAAAAAAAAAAATTAGCCAGTCGTGGTGGTGGGCGCCTGTAGTCCCAGCTACTCGGGAGGCTGAGGCAGGAGAATAGCACGAACCCAGGAGGCAGAGCTTGCAGTGAGCCGAGATCGCACCACTGCACTCCCACCTGGGCAACAGGGCGAGACTCCGTCGCCAAAAAAAAAAAAAAAAAAAAAGAACTAGAATTTATCTTCAGATCACCAGCAGCTACATAAACACTATATACTAAGTGGTGATTTTTACTTATATCCTACCTCCATTCAAAAATAATTTGCAGCAGCTCTTCAGCAATTTTTAATTAATTATTTAACTGTGATTTGATAGAAACAAAAAAAATTATATTTGGGTCCCCTTATGGCATAGTGTGAAAGTGACTCAAAGAAGGCCGTGTATTCCTTCTTGGCCAGGCACAGTGTTAGTCATGAGGGTACAAAGGAGAACAAGAAACAATCGCTGTCCTCAAGGGCTTTAGAGGAGACTTCAATACCCGGTGATCAAATGTATGGATTGTGTCCCAGGAAGACAGTGTGTACAGGATGCTGTGGGGGACAAAGTTTTCACAAGGACCAGTGCGTCCTTTGGATCTGGCAATTACTAGAGGTTATTTGGGAACCAAAAGCTGAACCTTCAGTGGTCCTCAAATGATGTGTGCACACAGGTCAGTCCTAGAAACCCCTACTGAGGGGTATGTAAAGGATAATTGACATGATGCCTGTAATGAGTTGAATGGCGTCTCCCACAAAGATAAGTCGACATCCTCATCCTAGGAACTTGTGTATGTGACCCACCTTGAAAAAAAGGGTCAGGGTCTTTGAAGATGTAATTAAGTTAAGGATCTCAGGATGAGTTCATCCTGAATTATCTTGAAGGGCCCCAAGTTCAATGACAAAGAGGGTTCTTTTTCCTAAAGACACTTTTTATAAGTGTCTTTATAAAAGACCTAAGAGGAGAAGGCCATGTGAAGACTGAGGGCAGAAACTGGAGTAATGCAGCCATAGCCAAGAAATGCCTGGCAACACTACAAGCTGAAAGAGGCAAGAAAAGATTTTCACTGGAGTCTTTAGAGGAAATACAGCCCTGCTGATATTTTGATTTTGGACTTCTGGCCTCCAGAACTGTGAGATAATAAATTTTTGTGGTTGTAGGTCACTTGTTTTGTGCTAATTTGTTATACCAGCCCTAGGAAATGAATACAATACCAAATTATTTAAATTGTTCACTTTCAAAATTTTACTGGGGATAAACAAAAACATGCTTGACACTCCCCTTCACCCTACATGGCCACTCCACCTCCAACACCTGTTAATCCTACCATCTAAGAAGGTCTCAAATCATTTGTATCTTACGTTCTCCACTGCCACTACTTCAGTTCATCCATCTCTCACTGGACAACTGTAGTGGCTTACTTCAAGTCACTCAAATCCAATAACCATATCCTCCACAATCAGTCTCCACTCTGCAGCCAGAGGGATCTTTTGGAAACACAGATCTGATCATAACACTGCCCTCCCACTTAAAACCATTCAATGTTTTCATGCCATTTTTAGGAATAAGAACAAAGTGATTTTCCCTATCTATGAGATCCTGTAGAGTCTAGCCCCTGCCTACCTCTCTACTTCAGGTTGCACCTGACTTGCCTTGCTCTCTTTATTTTATTTTATTTCATTTTATTTT